ACGTCTTATCTCTCTTGAAATTAAATTATCACGTGGAATTTATTCTCTCTTAATCTAAGGAATCTCACAAGTGATGTGCAGCAGACGTATTTTGACGGATGTTCGTGTTGTCTTCGTGGAAGAATGTCGAGAATATGAAAAAACCGGAATCGATTATTCTCTCTCGATCATCAGCAATTACAACAATTTCGATCATTTATCAACAATAATGTGCGTTTGACGCCATTTTCCTGCGTCAAAACACTCGATCACACTTATCTATCCCGTGATAATCAAACAGTCATCAACTAATTTTCTCAGGACGGTGATTAATTGAAAGTGCAATCACTTGGGGGGAGGGGGAGGGGGGGAATAATGACGAAATACGGGGAGTTTTAAAAATAATTCTCCCACGAAAAGTTGGACTTCCGAAGAATGGGAACCGAGGGAGAAGATAAAAAAGTGCGATTCACTGCAAAAAATCATATCGTCTACCAGCTGCAAGATGTAGGAGTAACAAAGAAAAATGACAAAGATTAAAAAAATCAAGAAGAGCACTGCGTGGGTGGTTAACGTTGGCGTTTTAAAGGCATTTCGGCAATAATTTCTGAATTGTCTTAGGATACTGACGCACCTATCTTATCTCGTGTAGACGAAAGAGATTATCAGAACTGCCCCATCAATTTTTTATAATTAATTGCCACGTACAGAGCAATAAAATAGCAAGTACATGCGAAAACCGCAGACACAATAAGTACAACATGATTATGCGAATATCCTTATAAGTTCACCGTAATGATTCATGCGGGAATATTTATTTTTAGATTTTATTTAAAAATCCTGTGTCTAGTCCTTTGGGGACCGCAGGATTTTTTTTATGTGAACGATAAATATAAATTACATGAAAATTCTCAGAGGGTATTTACAGTTCCATCTTTTCACCACCTCAGATCGCCAATTTTCTCTATTTATCACCACAATTACTCTGTTATTACCCGGTTATTAATTATAACGACGATATAAACACCGATAAAAATCATTAAACACTCGTCTTCTCCGGCATTGAACTCGTTCTCACATGCCAACTAAAAACAATGCATAATTCCCCGCGGGATAGAAATAAATGGTAAAACTCACCGATTCGCCAGATAACTCCATTGAATGTATATTAAATTTTTAATTAATGTTTACTGAAATCTGTTGGATAGAAATGTTGAATAGAAATATTGCCGATAAGATATCGTCTATTTTACAGTTAATTTTTCGTTTCCGGAAAAAATCAGGAAAAATCGGCGGAAAATCAAAATGACGGGAAAAATCGGACACCTCTTAGATAATGATAATTACTATTTTTTAACGTCGAAGATTTAGAAAAAAACATGAGAAATTACGAGATATCGAAAATAACTCATCGACCCTCAGAATATCTCCCAAAATATCGAGAGGTCAAAGTGCGGGACTTTTTGGCTCTCATTATCCGGTAACTTCCCCTCCCACGTCAATCCGGAAGGGAACCAATGATAAACACTGGAAACAATTATTTAAAAAAAGGGTGCGGGTCGGAGGGGGAGGGAGTGGCGGTTGAATTTGAAGATTGGCGCTTTCGTTATGCAAGGTTGACTCGGAAAAGTGTTAATACCACCGACCGAAGGTCTCAATTCCTTTGGATAATAACGCGAGTCGTCACGAGTGCAGTCACGCGAATGTAACAACAGTACGCGAATCAATTTTCCCAGTGGTTACTGACAATGAGACCGACAATTCGCCAACAATCATCATTGAAAAATAATCATCGATTGGATTATCCATTGCCCAGTAAAAAAAATCGGGGATTCCCGATTTTTATTCTCAACACCAATTTATTTTTTCAAATGCTCGCGGATCGAGTTTCTCAAAATCGTTGCCATCTTTTAATTTAACTCCTGTATTTTAATTAAATATTCTAATTAATAAATATAATAAAATAAATATTCCAATTAATAAATATAATAAAATAAATATAATAAAATAAATTCTCATATTTATCGGCGCGTTTCAGTGGAATTGGTGATTAATGCAAAAAAGCCGAAAAAATTTTTTTTCAATCGCCAGAAAATCATTTTTCTGATTGCATGGTATCATAAATTATTGATGACCATATGCTCAAAGTATTCCTCGCTGAAGTAGTTACGTACTTGACTTTTCATTTGAGTGTTAGTGCCTCATATTATACATTTTTTGCTTTATTTTTTTTTTAAACTCGCACCGGGTGGGGATGAAAGGAAACTGAGAGTGTCTCTCTGCGGTTCTACCGTTTGGATACTGCCAAGAAATGCCTCTGGGACTGTATCTTTGAGTAAGATCTCATCAGTCGCATGCAGGTACTTGAAGGTTAAACAACTGGTGAACAACTAGAGTGAACTCGATTACACCACGAATGTGCTATAAGTGTTGGTGTATTCAAGGTATTGATCAATCATTAATATCGGTACAGGAAATATCCACCATCCAATTATCAATATCCGCGATCTGATCCACAGTAATTAACGCCCAATCGGATTAACCAGAATTATCTCGAAATTAACTCGATGCCGAGGGTAAAAGGAATCGGTACCGAGGTGTTCACGCGGGTCTTCAGACGCGTGTGCATTTCAATTTAAATATAGTACCAAAATAAAGTACCAGTCCAAATTACCGCACGCATCTATTTGCACGTTAAAAAATTCCAGATTCTATAATTACAACCGCCACTTAATACCTCTTGTAACAACGAAATTCATCGTTGTTACGAAATACCGGGAGGTCGGCTACTATTTTTCAGTTCACGCACTGAATGTGTCAATTTTATCACTTGGATCACGCTAGTTCGGAATGAAAAAAAAAAAGGAAAAAAAAAACATCGACAAGAGAAAAAAAACATTCCACTCACTGTCCTCCGCTGATTGTCTCGTCCCTGTAATTTTCCTCTATTTATCTTGTAAATCATGTCTCTCTGTGGGCAATTTTTTCCAAATCCGTGTCATTTCCTCTTTTATCTCGTCTGATTGTTACACACCGTTTCGAAAATTAAATTGACGCTATTTAAAGACGGGCGCACGTGGTCCAAGGCGCCCTGTGACGATTTCAAATTGATTTTTTTTCTGTTGTGCTACAGCTGTTCGAATGGTAATTATTATGGCGAAAGTAATTAGTTAATTGTTCTTCAGTTGTAACGAGATCGATTGAAATTATTTGTTTATCTTATCGCGATCGATCATTTGACTTGATTGGATTGCAGGGAACGATATAAATCCTATCTCAGGCTCGATGTAATTGTAGTGATATACAGAACAACTATCGGATATTTTTATTAGTGTCAGCCAAAGTCAGAGTTGTATCCGGTTGTTAAAATAGTCCTCTGATCAGCGGCTGAGGGCATCAGCCAATTAAGCGCACATCGATTACATAAATAGTGGTGGATAATAAATATTTATTTAGCGGTCTTTTACTTTGTTTCAAACTCGAACCGGGAGCGTTATTAAATATTTATTTTAATTCGTGTGGAGAATAATCCGGGAAATTATTCATGCTAATAGGGCCACGTGTGGGCGAACTGTTATCATATAATAAAGGTGATCACGTGGTGAATTAGCGACGTTTGTTATCCTTGGGATATAGTGCAATTATTCGGCAAACGAGTCACTTGAATTTTTATTATTTCAAATTTATTTATTCTGATTCCTCAGATGGAGTTGCAAGCGAATCCCACGACAGTTACCGGTGAGAAACACTCGAAACTCAGAGAGACTGCATTCGAGGGATCGAAAATTAGTGTGTAAGTTTTATTTTATTATTTTTATAATGTCCTTTCAATATTTTGTTCAATGTTAGAGGAAATTTCCAATGTCAGGATGTGTTGGGTATTTATTTTCATGGGAGTGACACTGGAGGGCACTCAGAGGAAGCCATTTAAATTCCAAATATTTCTGTAACAGGGAATGAGGTCCGCAAGTTAATTCAATTGTCAATGAGCTAGTCAATTTTAATTACGGGCATACACAATTGTTTTTCGCTCAAAGGGAAGAGAATAGAAAATAGTGAATATATTATTGGAGAATGGAAAGCTTTTTGTCTCGTGGTGATTCGTTGGCTCGAACTAGTCTCTGGGGATTTTTTAAACTGGAATTCTCTGGAATTCTCTGGAATTCTGTGGAATTTTATGGAATTCATTGAATTTTTCATTTATCCAGCAATGGTGATAACTATGGAGTATTTCGGTCGAATGATCCGATTCTCGCAATCACAAATCGGAGAACGAGCACAAGATCGCAACCAGATCATATTACTGCGGATCACCCTACGTCGTAAGTAATAAAATAGTGAGACAATGTGAGGAAATTAAACAGAATAATGCGATTTCGAGTGTGATAACACGACTAGAGTGTGATAAGCTGATAAATGTTAAACCGTTCTGCTGTCCTGTAAAGATGATTTAATTACCAGATAATCAACAGATTTCGGATCCTGTCAAGAATATACAAGTAGCCATCAGCTAATTAATTTTCCTTATCAATTTCCCATGACCTTCAATTGCATAACAAAGAAGTTGTCCGGTTTTTTTCCGCTGAAAAATGTTCAATTGGCAATGAATAGAAAAAAAATTCCAATTGCAATTGAAATTTCGTCTTGTTCCTCTCGACTAATATCAGCGAATGCTTGAAATTAATTTGAATAAATAAATAAATATACTGCACTAATCCCTGAGGTTAAATCCACCGAAATAATATGAAAAATAATAAAACTAATTGATGAGTTAATCTTAGGTATTGCGAAACGATGATGCACTTGTTCAAAGGAAATGTTGGTTCAGGAATTTTTGCACTTGGTGATGCGTTTAAAAATGCCGGATTGACACTTGCACCACCTCTCACTATATTCCTGGGGATCATCTGTGTACATGCCCAACATATACTAGTACGTATCGACTGATAAAAATAGATAACAGTGAGAATACATTGACGCGTGTTAAAATGAATCAACACTTATTGATCTAATCGAGACGTTCACGTGTATTGTATGTATTGATCGGATTTAATGAGTGTCAATTGAGCAGTGGCAGACTAAAACTTTGAATTGATTATTCAACTAGTGTGAGGGATAATGGAGGATACAAAGCTCGGGTGTATACGTGGGAATTTATCGATTCAAATTGACTTTCATTACTGCTATTCATTGATCAAGGCGCAACCGGTTGATTGCCATTAAAGAATTTTTCCTTTTTTTTTTCATATTTGTTGGCAGGACGTGCCACGTCAATTAGCCACATGCATTGTCAAAAGATTTGCTGACATCATTTTATTCATCAATTTATGGGAATTCCGTTGTCTTTATCGATTTATCGTTATTTAATTAATAATCCGCACGTGAGTTCCTCCGATGTTCCAAGTTGTAAAATGGAAAATATTTACGCACAAAGTTTTAGTCTCCCGCTCGCGAATAAATCGTGAATGATACACGTACAGAATAATTTCGTAGAGAAATTTATTCAATTGCATCGATGAATTTTTGATGATTTTACTGAATATAATTTCGTTGCTCGTCGCGAAAAATCAGTTAATCACTGTTGGTCTAATTGTGAATAAAACAGTGGAATTAGCTGGATGATTATTAATTGCAGCTTAATTGCAATGACGAGGTGATCAGGCGTCTCGGTGATTCGGCAAAACAGGAAGCACTTGGATATGCAGCAACAGTGGAGATGTGTTTCGAAATTGGTCCACTCCGGTTACGAAAGTTTTCAGTATTAATGAGGTGAGCCAGAGCCCAGATTAAATACACAATAATCCATCGAAATATCTTGCACAAGACGATTAACATTTCTTCTGTTAATTTTTTTTCTCCCTTATCACTGAATTCCGGCATTTAATTTTACTTCAGAAAGATGGTAAATCTATTTGTGTGTGTAACGCAGCTTGGATTTTGCTGCGTTTATTTTGTCTTCATATCGACTAATATGCAACAGGTAAAGTTGAAAATATCCTCGGGCACGTGCTATCAATCTGTTTTTCACGTGATGATAATGTGAAATTGTCTCCTAGGTATTGGATCAGTACGGATTTCATGTGAGCGTCGGATGGCACATGGCAATTGCACTGGTGCCCATTCTTATGAGCACTTGGATCAGAAGTTTAAAATTTCTAACACCTCTTTCATCAATCGCTAATTTGTTAGTCGTCTTTGGATATGTTGCGACTATTTACATTATTTGCCACGATCTGCCGCCCGTTAGTGAGAGAAATTATGTCGCTAATTGGAATCAACTACCTCTTTTCTTCGGTACTGTGATTTATTCTTTCGAAGGTATTACTTTGGTAAGGAAATTTCAATTCTTATGAATTTTTTCAGCTACATTTCAATTTTATACGCCAAATCATCGGAGTATTTGAAATTTCTACCGAAGTGGAAGTCAACACTAGGATGGTGCATTTTTTTTCATGTCTGTTAGCCAATATCTCGGAATCGAAGAGACATAGCGTTTTTTTTTCATAAACATTTTTTATAGGAAAAGATAAGGGCTACAAAAAAGGTTTTTATGAAAATATCGATATTTTCTTTTATTTTCGAGAAATCGGCTAAAAACTGGACTCGAAAAAAAGGTACTTGAATTAATACACTCGAAAGACACACACGGTCTTCACCAATTGCTCCCAGCAATTAAATGACAAAGGGATAGTACACCCTGGACCCCTTTTGACAGATCCTCAATAGGTCCTATTCATTCGAGTCTATTTACACTTTAAACGAGGCCGGCAGTGAAATTTGAAAGTCTTTATTGAATTTACCGAGCGACTTAATCATGATTTTCAAGGAAACAAAATGTAAATTTTCATCAAACGAATAAGTTAATGAATAATTATTATAACTAATCACGACAGCGGTTGGAAATCTTTGAAGATATATTGATCACGCTTTGAAAAAAATTTGAACTTTCAGGTGCTGCCATTAAAAAATGAAATGAGAAGACCAACACAATTCAACAGTCCCATCGGTGTATTAAACGTTGGAATGGTAATTGTTGGCATGATGTTCGTAGTTATGGGCTTTTTGGCTTACCTTCAGTTTGGAGAGGAAGTAAGCGGCTCGGTTACCCTTAATCTCAATTCCAAAGAGATGTGAGTTGATTATTAATGAATTACTCGACCTTGACACCATTTTTACCCCATACGTCTTGAATATAAAATTTATATTATTCATGTTTATTCACATTGCAGATTGCCGCAGTGTATCAAGATCGCGATATCCCTCTGTATCATGCTTTCGTATGCTCTTCAATTCTACGTACCAATTGCCATAGTTTGGCCTAGATTAATCGAAAAATATGGGGAGTTTCGTTGTCCCGTTTTAGCTGAAACGTGCTTCCGGTCTCTCTTGTGTCTCCTCACGTGTAAGTAATTTGAGATTATTTCCTTGAAACAATGCATTCATGATTACTATCCACGATGGGATAATTGAGGCAAAAGGATAAGTCAATTACTTTTGATTCCTGGTTAATTGGATGAATACTTGAATTAAATCGCGTCATCTCAAACTAGAATTATGATTTGTGATGAGTGTTTTCAATATTTCAACCGCTCATTTAGTCGTTATGCCAATTTTTATTCACGTGATGGTCTAGTTCTGGGCAGACTGGTATAAATATTCAACAGTATATTTCTACCAACAGTTCCACATGAATAGTCAATATTCATTCAGTGGACGGTGAAAATAAAAATTTAGACACAAGTTGAATATTTTATGTTACAGTTGTTTTAGCTGAGGCAATCCCGAACTTGGGAAATTTCATATCACTGGTCGGTGCTGTTAGCAGTACAGCACTGGCCCTTCTGTTCCCTCCGATAATCGAATTAGTTGTTTGTGCGGGGAATAATACCCTCGGATCAGTGAAAATTATGAAGAATATTGGGATTCTTTTGATCGGAGTTCTAGGATTTTTAACTGGCACCTACGAGAGTCTCACAAAAATCATCAACTCATTCAACGAACCGACCAATACCACGAGCCCAATGACTACACCCGTCCTATCGATGTCCAATTATTCATCGCACGATATCGGAAATAATCTCACAAATTTCAATATCACGAACCTTAGTAATTATTAATAAAATACACTAGACATCTAGTCCAACAAAGACAGCAGAATATTTTACCTAAAAATTGTATTTCATAGGTGTTAAGTAATGTGATAAAGTCTTCAGTCGTGTTTTTCAATTCGTATAATTAGATATGTACAGTTTCGAACGTAAATATGTACCGTAATTTATTTATTCTTACATTAATGAATTTTCTAGAAACAACATATGTTATTATGAATGGTTAATAAATGAATGACAAAACCGACAGAATATTATTTAACCCTTCCCAATCTTTAAGTTTCACATTGCAAACTAGAACGATAAAAAAAATAAGGAGTTCGCCGTGAAATTCTCCCGCATAAAAATATTCTCTCATTTTCTCTCGTAAGAGAACATTACCTTGAGAGCATTATTAATCATAAATATATTATAATGATACTTCCTAGAGCTGATCTCGATTCTTCCTGATGAAACTCGAGAACTTGATGACGGCCCCGATGGTGGGTTCGATGATCATCTCATTATCGTACTCACTCTCCCCATGACCTTGAATCGGTTGTGTGAGTATCGTAGAGGTAGATTGAGAGAAAAGATTAACAGGGCCCTTCTGCAGGACTTTAATCCCCAAACACCCCAGCTTCACCAGAATCTCAACGAGCTCCCTGGTGTGATAAGGTTGAAGAGCAGGGATAAATCGTTCTTGAACCCTAGGTAGCATGATTCCAGGATGCATGAGGCAGTGTCCGAGGACGGCTCCCAGCATCTGCTCAAGGCCCTTCCTATTTACCAAGCCATCAATTTGAATCCAAGGTCTCACAACAACATTGATATCCTCAGCCGAATTCATGTCGAGTTTCTTGGCTGCATTGTAGATGTCCTTTGTCTGGAGGAGGCAGGTCCTCTTCTTGGGGAGGTTCTTCTGGTGCTCGCTGGTAGAGAGAATTGGACTCACCTGTGTGCTAGGATTTTTCTTGCAACCCGGTGATTCAGATGGCTCAGAGGCTGTCACAGCCTCGCTGTCAGGATTCAGAACGTAAACCGTTCCAGGTGGCACTGGTGGTAGTGACTCCTTCTGCAGTCTCATTATCCTGATCGACTGAATCAGCCAAGGATCCACGAATTTGTGATGAATGTAGTGCATTCGTGTTACTCCACTTCGCAGGAGGAGTCGGTAATCAGTCAGGAACGACAGGATCTCGTATAAATGAACTTGAAGTTTCCTGTGGAAATTCTCTACAAGTTCCTCCAGCGTCGCACCCTGCTCTTGTTTACTCTCGACATATTCGTACACCACGTCAACATCTGCCTTCTCAATTCCCTTTATCATCAACAATTCTGTTATTCGATCGTACTCTGGAAATTCTTTGGGAAAAACTGCAAATTTCCTGAGATCTGCGAGAACCTTCTTGTAGACGCTGTCCTCCACCACCAGTAATCCTCCAGATTTTATCAAACTCTCGCAAGACTCTGATTGCTCCTCAGTTTTCACTCGGAGATGAGGGAATGAGTAGTATATTCCGAACGAGTTTACCACGAAGTACTCATGCGCGTGGTGACTATCAGGAACGTCTTCATTGAGTTCCTCTCTCATCGTTAACAGAGCTAATCCGGTGTGAGGAGAGCCAGTGTTACCTGAGCTCTTGTCTCTCTGATTCTGAGCGAATTTCGAGTCTTTTCTGTAATCCATTTTCGCTATGACGTCGTTGAGGTACTTCGGGGTTTTACTAGTGGGAGATTTTGGTGGAAAGTTCGAGTTGTCCTCGAAGGTGTCCCTCTCCTGTCTCCTCTTCGCCCTTTTTTCGGGAGGATCGACGCACATTTTTGTGGTTTCCCCGGTGACGATCTCCTTGAGCTGGTCGATAACACTGAATGCTGATACATCCTCGACCGCTTCTTTCCGAGTCTTTAGGAACGCTTGGTGTACGTGATCGTCCACTGGGGTCGATTTAGCAATTTCAATATCTCCTTTGGTGATTGGAATTATTGTTCCATCCTGGAGCTTTATGTAGTCGTTATCAACATCATCATCGAGATCGCTTTTGCCTTCTTCTATATTTGAATCGTAATCTGTACTAGAGTCTTCTCTTGAGGGTTTTCTCAATTCTTTATGAGTCCAGTGGGTCTTCATCGGGCCAACTTTCCTCGTGGATTTTGCTGGTGCAGTCTCCACATCGATTTTAATTCTCTCCCAGTCTGGAGAGTCCTCTGCTTTCTGCATCGAGGTAGCAGAATGAATTCTGGGGATGGAAGGCTCGACGCTCTGAAGATCGGATTGCTCCAGACTAGTCAGGATGTCCTGGTATCTCTTCACGATCCTGATGTATGTCTCGTCGTACTCCTGGAGCTTGGGATCAAGCATAATCACATGATCAGGGATCTCAACATTGAAATCAATTTTCCCCTCGATAAAATACTCTGGAATTCCCATGACCATTCCACCAGTTGGAGGCACACACTCGACGCCTCCAGCTTCTCCAAGGGTGTTCTCCCTGTATCCTTTGACCACAGTCTTCAGAAATTCGAATACGTCGTCGTAAACCTCAGGAGAAATTTTAGTCTGGAATTTGTAAATGTAACCAGTACTCAGCTGGTACTGGGAGGAACTCATTGGCATGCAATTGCCGAATTTTTTAATGGCATTCAGATAATGCTTCTTGACGCACACCATGTGATCAGCCCTGATCTTCCCCATGGCGTTCTTGAGGAGAATTTCTGAGTACTGCTGATAAATCCTGAAAAGCTGATACGCCCACGATCTACGATCTTTTCCACAGCACATTGAGCTGTAGATGACAGAATTGATGGTTGCTGTGTGAATATCATTGACACTCTTGACGTTCTGAGTGAATCCCAGATGGGCGTGTGGCCTCTGGGGATGAGTAACATGATAAAACAAATTGAACTCTTGAATTGTCTTGGGCATGTGTTCGACTTCCTTCGTCCCAGACTCTGAGATGTCGTAATATTTTTTGGCAACGTATGACACGAGAGTCTTGAAGACCTCCACGATTTTACTCTCGGAATCGTTAGGATGTTCCTGCCTGATTTTATCTACGATGTTGTCGTACCTCTTGTGGACATAATAATTCTGCTTAATCTCCTCGACCCCGAGGCCCACTGACTGCATCGTCTGGGGCTTCTTCAGCATATACAGCAGTCTCCTCTGGCAAGCCCTCGACGTTTTGTTGTGAGAACTCGATGAGTAAGACCTCAAGACATCCCTAACTGCAGTGCAATTGATCAATTGTCTCCTGGGATTTGGACAGAGATAAGTCATCACCACCTTGCAGACGAGGAGAATGTTGTCCTCTCGAGGGTCCCAGTCCACCCTGAGCTTCTGCATCTTCTGGAGGGCAGAGTAATCAATGTCGTCGTACTTGACTTTCGTGCTACTTTTTTTAACTTGCTTCTTGGGCAGGACTCTCCTCACTATGGCATTCTGTTTACTCATCTTGCTCGTCAGGATCTTGTGCCTCAGGTGTTTGTCAGAGGTGATGAATAGTGAGGCCTTCTGATTTTTCGGCACCTTCAGTTCATTGACATCCAAATTAGTAGGACCACTCTTCTTGAGACCCCTGAAGTCAGTGAACTTGAGGGGTTTTGCCTCGATCTTAGAGAGGTGCATGTTCCTTTTAGTCGTCTGAACAGGTGTCTTCTCAGGTATATTATCCTTAGGGAGACTGTCCTTGCGCTGGAAATTGTCCCAGTTCCAGTTTCGTTTCAAATGAGCGAAAAATGCAGAGTCTATGCCAGCTGCTCCCCTCTTGTCCCCAGGGAGAATTCCAATGTCAAGAAGTTTAGCTTCCTCTGGTGATCGAGGCTTCAATGTCTCCATCATCTCAGGCTTTTTCGTTAATTCCTCCAGTACGATATCCGTCCCCAGAACCACCAGTCTCCCTCCCAAGTGTGTGTTAATGCAAAAACTCCACATGTCATACCAGTACTTTTCCACAGTCTCAGCCTTGTCGAAGTAGTAAGAGTACCTTGGATAGCTGTCCTCGGAAATCTTGTGGTAACTCGGAGCTGAAGTTGTCGTGTCGTACAATTCACTCCTTCTGTTGAGATAAAGGAACACCTGATCCTTGTGCTTCAGCTTCTGGGGGCCGAATTGAACGAGTCCAATGAAGCACAGTCTTGATATTGTCTCGTGAAAGCTATATATGTACTTTCTGTTTTGGAGGAGAGCATTTCTGAGGAGCGTGGGAAGTTCTTTAATGAGAGTGTGCTTCCTGATGGGATCGTCCAGGTAGTAATTAAGATCTGCCATCTCGTAGGGGATCTTGCAGAATTTTAGGAATATTGAGAGGGGCATCCTGTGGAGAATGTCACACATGAGGGCCCAGCCACGGGGCCAGCCTTCGTGGGGTGCCAATGGAGGAATGAACATCTTCCAACTGACCTCATTATCGTAGATCCTGCCCATCTCCTTCTCCATTTTACTGTCGATCTGATAGCCACTGGCACGGAGTCGGTTGATCTCCTCCTCCTGAGAGAGCACCGATGGCTCAGGGTAATCATAAATAACATGATAAAGTAGCAGGTGGATCACCTGCATCCTGACGAATTTGGGACTGTACCCGTACCTCTTACCAGCCTTTGGATCGTATTTTATGTCTGCAGGAACTTCCAGCGGATCCATGTCCTGCTTGGATTTCTTTTTCAATGGTTTTTGGGTGATTTTCTCGTTATCTGCTTGTGAGTGATTGGCCTTTGACCTTGGACACCTCATCACGCAGAATTTAATTTTCGCTTGCTCCACAGCGGATTGAATTACCGTATGATTGACGTCGATACTGGGATCGCAGATGAATGTGATCATTTTTTTTCTCCCCTTGGAGGTCAGGGTGAGATTGATGTGCTTGACGAGATTGTCACCAGCTAGCTTCTGCAGGAGTCTGATCAGTGATTTTTTGTCGATCTTTACGTCGTATCCCTCACGCTCCTCCTCCTCGTTGATCATTCTCATAAGTCTCGTCGTATCGTCGATTACCTTGTGCTCTTTAACTGATTCTATAATCATGTTTGCGCGTTTCAGAATTCGGTAGGTGATGTTGCCAGTGGTTCGAGGGTTGTCTGAATGGAGTTCTTTCAAGAGGCTCCTCAGTCTGGCCCGAGGATTCACAGGAATTTTTATTTCCTGGAGGGAGATCTCACATGTGTCGGATTCCGAGAATTTTGTTGAGTCTATTTTACGACGTTTCGCTGGTGGTAACGAAATCTTTTTCATTTGATCTGATAATTTTCTCGTTCTTGAGTGGAGGTGCTTGCTATGCTCCCCGGAGAGGTCCTGACAGGTCAGCTGGTATTTATGAAGCTTGTAGAGTTTATATTTATTGAGGATACGATTTGCAGACGTAAACAACACTCTCAGGTTTTCCTTTGAGGTTTTAGGGGAGGGAAGTTGCTCATCTATCTCCATCCTCTCCATCGTCTCCATCCTCTCGTCGACAGGTTCTGGATTGGGAGCCTCTGGAGGAGGATCAATGGAGACCGGGGGAGATGGGACAGATGGAGGATGGTTTTGAAGAGTTTGAGGCTTCGTTAGTGCCTTCATCTTGATCATTTCAGTCTTGAATTGTTTGCTGATTGCACTGTTCTTCTCAAATCTTTTGGACACATATTTGGTCATCCTCTGACGTCCCACGTCATTCATGTAGGTCCCAACGATATTCATCTTCGCGAGATTCCTCAGGATGGTTCTAGCCTGGAGTTTTGTCAGACCCATGCACTTCCCCAGCTCAGTCTGGCTCAGTCCATCGCAGTTGGCACTTTCCACGTGCAGATTTGCCTGCGTGAGAAGAGGCTCATTGATCTTCTGCTTCGATATATCCAGATCATACACCTGGGGGCTCTCTTCTTCCTCCAGGTCGTCTTTATTCCACAGCTCGTTGACATCGATGTTCGGATCGAGCAGCTGGATAGCCTTGATCTTTTTCTCCAAGGGCATAGCCTTCCTTTGCCACTCAGAAATGTCAGCGTGAGGGTACAATGTCCTGTAGGGCACCAGGAGATCGGTTCTCACGATTTTCTGAAAAATTGCTAGCTTGAATAAATTTTTTATTGTCCTGTCCAACTGCAGCTTCTTCTTTATCTCACTGTAATCAGCGATGTAGTTATCTCGTGTTCTCAGGATCTCAACAATCGATTCAGCCAGATAAATCATCTTAGGCTTTCGCTCAACGAAGAACCTGGGAAGATGCACGAGAGTTCCACTGCTGCCGTGACCAGCAGACGCACTCTTCTGGTAATGCGTTTGCTTTGTTATCATTTTGTGTTTCGATAGAAATTTTCGGTGATAAAACAGGGATTTGGACTCCTCCCCGAGAATACTCAGGCTACGTTTGCCCTGGGTAACTTCACCGTGATATCTGGATCTTCCCACTCGCTCCAGGAAGCAGTACTGCACGATGGTGAGCTCCAGGGTAGGAGAGGCGGTATCACCCATGAGGGCGTTCTGTCTCGTGGGTTGAGCCCCAACGATCACTAAATTCTGGCCGAATTTCTCCTCAGCGCTGGCCAGGCTAATGGTCCTGATCGAGTCGATGAGCTTTCTCGTGTGATAGCTTTTGCAGGAACCTCTGACACCGGTTTTGATATCGTCGATCGGGTAGTGCTCGTAAATGTCATCTGGGAGATCCTCTGGCTCGAGGATTGTCCCCAGGTCGGGATCCACGAATTCGTAACGATCGTAGATAACCAGAGGGCCTCTGGGGCTCTCGAGTTCGTAGAAGAGGAGGTCCTTGGTGGAGATACAGATCGACCAGACTTGCTCCCTCAGGGGTGTGGGCAGAGGGTGAGGAATCTGTAGTCTCAAGGCCAGTCGCTGCCAGAGGGCCTCCAGGGTGATTCCATCGAGACCCTCCAGGGCCACCTCGTCGATCACCGTGTCCACGAGGTTCGTCGATGGAGAATAAATCATTGTCATCATCGGCGAAGGCATTTTTATTGGCTTTCAAATAATACCTAGAAGAAAAAATTCAAAAACAATTGTGATTAAACATATTACATCCGATCCAGTACTTACAGACCGAGTGAACCAAAAAAAAATCATGAACGATCAATAGTACCTTTTAAAAAAAATTCAGATTGCAATCACATGTCGAAAAATCGAGAAAATAAAATGAATCATCGACTCAAATTTACAAATATCTCGTAAAACATCGTCCACAAGATTCCTTCCGATTTCTAGGTTAAATTTTTAGACAACCTGACGTTTCAAATGGCTTGAGAGCCGGTATCCCAGGTCGCAATGCATCTACAATATTTACTATTTATATTATTAACTATTGACACTGGGTGCTATTGAGATTTCGCTGATTAAAAGCTGTCGGCGCCCGTCGATTTTATACGTCTGATATTGTCGATGCATTGCGGCTTCGAATACAGGTTCTCACACCTTTAAAATCGCTGTGACATCAGCTGTGCGCATGCCCCCGGGAATCCCCATTCGGATTGGTCCACTGTCCCATGTGGAAGTAAGGCATAAAAAAACGTCAAAAAAATGATCCAGTTGTTTATATACCATGCACGAGAGTAGTGTCACAAATCCATCAGTACATAATAAATCGTCCCACACCTTTTGAGCACCGGTTGAATCCCAGTGAATCCCTGAAAATCCCTGAAAATGGTGCGTGTAATACCAGTGCACAATTTTCTGTCGCAGAATGTGGGTCAGATCGATGAGCCAACTGCATCCTGTACAGCTAATGTCCAGGGTCAGGATATGCTTCTGCTTGCCCTATCATCCCACTGCGTCAAGGTCTACGGATTAGCTTCATCCCAGTCAAAACTCCTCACTGTATTTCCCACTGTCGACTCTGTCAATCAATTACTCCACTCCGACAAAGGCAATTACGTTGCCACCTTGGAATCAAAGAACTCGCGAGACGGAACAACGACTAATAATTTTGTACGCATTTACGTTAATTGGGAGATGTCTGGTAATCAGAATCAAGCAATGAGGGCTAGGATAGCCGGACGAGTCACGCCTAGTCTCAATCGCACCCTGAACAGCCTCGAAATGATAGAACTACCCCTGAATTCCCAACCAACCCACATCGCCTGTTGTCAGACCACGGGAAATCTCCTGGTGGTGATGGAGCGCGAGGCTGTCATTCACGAGCTCAAAGTCGAGACTCAACAGTTGTCGAAGCAAAAATTCCTCGACTTCGAGGTGAGACCCTGGTCCCTCAAATTCACATTCTCCCCGAGTCACGTACAAATCGCCGAGGAATTTATTACCGTCATGAATTCCACGAGCTTCATGATATTCAAATTAACGAATCAATTCAACGATGACATGATGAACAACGTCGAGAGCATTAACAACACGAAGAACACGAAAAAACGAATGAATCAAAACGCTAAAATTGCGATGCAGGACTTGGACAGTTCTGACACTGATAAGAGGCTCAATAAAAAACGAAATTCCCAGACGAAATCAATAATTGACTACAAAAAATCGGTCATCAACGAGAGAAGTTTCATCGACTGGGACCAGCTAGTCTCCAAAGAAGGAGAAGAACTGGAACGACTGGAACTGTTGAAGATCATCGACCCGGCATCGAAGGATTTTAATATAATTCTGGATTCAGTATCCTCTGACACACCAGAGAATTCTCAGAGCTTGGACCCTCCAGTCGTGCCAGCTCCAGAGATCTGTGCAACGATCACAACGAGTTCCAATGAAGACAGTTGGTCGGAAAACTACATAATCGAGCACGTGCTAAGGCTGAAGGTCGTACCGACGTCTGCAGAGGCCACGAAGGACTTCGGCAATGACTACTTCACCTGTTGCGGCATGAAGCCCTCCTACTGGAGGTCCAAGACCCTCAATACAAGACAGAAGAAGTCCCTACTCCGTTCTCAGAAGTATAATGTATTCAACGGAGTCACCTGCATCGTCTGCACAGCCCAAGAGGGCTATCTCTACCACTTCTCTCCCTCCATCAAGGAGGAAATCACTCAGACTCTATCCTCTTGCACGATATACCCATTCACCTCACCAGTGAGTCACGTAGCCCTGGAGAACACTGCTCTGCATGCCCTCACCGAGGCTGGGCTCGAGTCCTACACTCTGCGACTTCCTCACATGAAGACAAGGACCAACATCGAGTGTGAAGATCACAACGAGCCTGATACCATCTCTTTAATCGGATTGAGGCCATTCCTGGGGGTTAAAAAGCTTCTTCAAGCAGCCAAATGCCTGGTGTTACTCGCTTCTGATCAAGATAACTGGACTTACTACTCCCTGATCCTTCCCAAACCTGAAGATGTCTACTATGATATCCTGAGTGCAGCCAACAACCACAAGGCCTCCAGCCCCTGCACCTACAAGCATCTCCTTGGTGAGGCCTACACCGTTCTCAAGCTCGCCAAGGACATGGTGTATTACTCCTCGGATGTTGAGTACTCCCGTAACGTCAACGACACCTCCAGGTCTTATCTGGATAACTTGTACAGGCAGTCGTGTGGACTTCTCGCAGACTATTTTGTCTCCTCGACGTTCCCTTACGACTGGAATTCCTGCATCAGCTATTATAAACTAGCAGGCCTGAGTGCTCCCGATGTATTGGGAAGAAAAGACGTGACTAAAGCTTCTGGGGTCATTGTCTATCTCTCTGACGTGTTGTTGACCCTGCAGTCTGGATCCGAGGCTGATGCTCTCTTTCAGGAGCACAATATCGTGGAGATTCTGGGGAGTGCGGAGAAGGAGGATCTTCTCAAGCTCATCGTGGCGAGTCCAGTGTTGAGGGAATATGCTACTGAGAAATTAATCCATGTCCTGAGTGGCTGGGAAGCTACGGATCCCAACCAATTTGCTCTGGTGCTACTTTACACTCAGGCAGAGAGACAGCAGCTCGCCGAGAAAGCCCTCGAGGGCATCTCTGATCGTTACATCACCGAGGCCACTCTCGCCAATTGGTCCTGGCTGTTTGACGTCACCAGTGTAAAGAAGGGAAACGTCATTCCCACGTTCTCGGATTACGCTGGGATTTTCATGAGACAGAGGACGAGAATCTTTGCAGACGTCATTGCAAAACTTGTGGCGGAGGAGGCCTTGACGTTGAATCAAATGATTCAAATTTTCCTGGCCTATCTGCCTTCCAGGGTTGGCAGAGATGGGAGACTCGCTGCCGGAGCTCTGCAGCTATCCCTGGAAACTTATTTCAAGGGAATTTATGTGGATGGGGAGAGGAAGAGAGAGGATGCTGGGGAGAATGATGTGGCGGTTCTCGAGGGGTTCAAGATTCTGGTGAGATCGTACCTGGGGGAGCTGGCGCAGGGCCAGAGTCAGAGGTCTGAGGAGAGAGAAGGAAAGGATGTACTCTTTGGTAACTTTAGGCCTGAGTTCTTGGATCATCCGATCCTCTATAAGAACGATGGTGTCAAGGGCGAGATCAGACAGGAAGTTATTAAGCTACAGGCATTGCTGGCCAGTGGATATCTCAGCAATGAGTGCTACGAGGAGGTCAAGCGGTTCCTGGAGACACAGAGCATTGAGGGGGGCTTGTCCTTCAAGCTCTTGTGCGTTAGGGATACTGAAAAGGGAATTCAGCTGTTGGCGGAAAGGTGTCCGCAAGTTCTGCTGATGTATGCCAAAGTGAGAACCATCATTTTGTACCATAATTGATAGTCAGTGGGAGACGCGAAATGTTTTAATTGATGTTTTAATTATTGCAGGATAAATATACCAAAGAGTCGGAGTGGAAATATTTCGTGCAATTCTTGATTCATAAAATCAATGAGTCTCCAGGGGATCCTCAAGCCTTTACTATTTATGACGAATTATTAAAAGGTGAGGGGATTGTTTAGCTTTATTCCTTAGTTTATTGAAAATATTGGGACATGATTTATCCGTTTGATTGGGGTGTGTCGTTACAGATACAGCTATTTATATAGCACAAACCATGTCGATGAGGGGTCTGCAGCGTGTACTACCCAACGACAACAGCATTCCCTCGTTACAACAGTATATGGATATCAGTAGTCAAGTTGTACACGCTGATTACATTAAAACAATGATAATGGGTACTGGTCAGCATTTACTAACTAATATCAATTTTTAGATTCTCACTGTGATGATTTACAAAACTAATGTGATTTTTTCTCAAAAGAACAAACGTTATTACCTTAGAGAAGTTTTAAAAGTTTATGTAAACGTATTGAAACATTAAATAATGAAGTGATAAAGAGAATCGTGGCAGTCAGTTAATTACGATAAAAAGATCGTCACAACTTCACCATAATTCTTTAATATAAAATATCTTTTATTAATCTTATCGCAAAAATGGACGGAAATAATTCCTCACGAGTCTTCCAGACTCGAGTTATCATTTGTACACGCAGGATACAAAGAAAAAAAATTATATAAAAAATCTTCAAAGTTCGGTCTCGTTTCGGAGTTCAGCGATGAACGCGATATGTACATTAGTTGTAAAATATTCAGGAAGTAAATTCTTAATCTCTTAAAATAAATCGTCGAGTTTGTCTGATGCAAGAGAAACTCGACGATAAAGGTTTTGCAATCTGCTCGTGCATTAATCACTACGTAGTTTCTATAAAGCATAACTTTGTTTGCTTAAATTCATCTCCTTTCAGCGATCGATCAACATTTGATTTTAAAAATTTCGTCAAAACATGAACAACAAATTTTTTTTTCTGAACACATGTTCCTCCTTTCTTTCAATAATTAGATGAGGATTCTTATTAATTATATGGGCATGGTCAGAACAGTACTGTGAGGTGTGGTAGGACGAGATCCGGCGATTGAATGAGTCGTTGATGCATTTAATGACTGCATCGTCCCCATCTGGATAATTAGATAGATAAAGTGATTAAAAATCTATTTGAAAAAATGTTCACCTAGGATTTTCAAAAACTTACTCTCAAATGTGCCAAATCCTCGAGTCGACTGAGATCCGACAGTTCCAAATACAATGTGTAAACAATCAGCCACCCATACACAGAGAACAATATAAAAATAATCCAGAGAAGGCACATCATGATATTGTAAGCAAATATCATATCATTGACAATGCAGAAGAGTAAAAAGGCGAGTACTCTGAATATAATAAAACCAGCGAAACAGTACAACCATGGAATCATTTTCTTCTCGTATTCTTTTCGCAATGCATTTATTAGGATTATTGAAGTGACTAGGACTGCAATTGCCCCGAGCATCGAGAACAGAGCTGCGACGAGAAGAGCATTTCGAACTGGAATAAATAATTATGAGTCATAACGAAAAATAACGTGTGCTGTGTTAAAAAAAAAAGATGTTACTCACTGTGTTTATTCCCTACGTAAACAAATTCATAAGATATTATATAAAATCCGTAGTGTGTGGATCCTGGTGTTGCTTGGGAGAGGCAGTAAATATCGAAGGCTGCACTGCAGATCGTGAAGAGTGCCAAGAACTGAAGGTAGACACGAGTTAAAAACCCTCATCAGCAATGATTTATTTGGGGTGGATTTATTGGGTCGAGGCAATTGATTACTCACCACTCCAAAAGCAGCGGTGAACATAGCACTCCTCGGAATATCTGAGAAAAAGGCCTTCGTGAGAATTGGCCTCTGGTACCACGGTATCACTACACTTTTCGTTGATCTGGATGATCTCAGGTTGGCACTGCTCCGGGTAGTTACGTGGGAGTATATGGACGGAGTGCCCATGCTGGGTGATTTTTTTCCGTAATTCATTGTTTACCTTTGGGAGAAATAATCGATGAAAACCTGAGTTCAGCAATCCAGGGTTAATCGAAAAAGGAAGATTCTCGATTTTCACATGAAATGTTTCGAATATTCGAAGGCACAATTTGTGAACACTAATTGGTTTGATTACCTTGTAGATGGTTCTACAATTAATAAATTACTCTAGGGAACTGTTAATGGGTTCAGAGGGAATAAACGGAATTTCGGAATCTCGGGTAATTACTAATTACTGTCATTTGGCACGCCCCGAAGTTGTGACATTACGTCTTTGATATGTAAATAATCATTACAAAAGGTGTAATTGTTGAGGAAATTATATTTCTCAATAATTAAACAAATAGTGGAGAAAATCGATTTATTGGGGAGTACTCACGGATTTCTCGAATTTCCAGGGGTAAAGAATACTTTTTCCCCGTCGTTAGGATGTATCATCAACGCGGACACACCTACAAATTGTAAACTATTGTAAACCACGAACAAGTGTGTGCACGTGTAGGGAACGAAATCGAATGCTCCAAAATGACAGCGCTGCAGTCGCCATCTTGTTGCAGGTGGTTTTACCCAAGGATTGAGTAAAAAATTATTGAATGCATTGAAGATATACCACTAATGAAATTATATTTTCATAATTAGCGCGTTGTCTTAATGGTAACGTGCTTGCCTATCACGCCGACGGCCCGGGTTCGATCCCGCCGTCATTCATTTTTTTTTTTTAAATAATTCCAATTTTATCTTTTTTAGATGACTAATCAATCGGAATATCATTAAAAAACTGAATATTTGAAAATCGAAAAGATATCCAGTGAAATTTACAAATTTAACATTTTTGAAAGCGAAACTTTTTGAAAATATATACTACTAATAAAAATTTATTTTTATAATGACAGGTTGTCTAAGCGGTAACGTGCTTGCCTACCACGCCGATGGCCAGGGTTCAATCCCGCCATCATTCATTTTTTTTTTTAAATAATTCCAATTTTTTCTTTGGGTAGGTATTCACTGCAATTGAAAAATTCGAAATTTCTGAAAAAGTATCAGGGTAACATGAACATCGAGGAGCTATTCACTGAATTTTTCACTGAGAGTGAAAAATTCGAAATTTTTCATTGAACGTGAAAAATTCGAAATTTTTGAAAAAGTATCAGGGGAACATGACAATCGAGGAGCTATTCACTGAAATTTTCACTGAAAGTGAAACATTCGAAATTTTTG